ACACACAAATACGTTCAAACAATCACAAAAAAGTATGTATGATGAAAAAAAGCCTCACCCATACGCGTTTATATATACCATAGTCCCCCATCAAACGTACTGCATAAAAATAGATATCCTTATAAGAGACAAAACTACGCATGAGAAATTGAGGTACTGTTACGAAAGATAACGAAGGGACAATAGATTCTTATCATATCCTTAAGGATGTGGTATCCCAACAGAAAAAGCATAAAAGGAAATCATTCCTGTTTTAAATATATCTTTTTATTACACTAACACTCTGACAAAACATGACAGTAAAAGTGTGTGTGGTATAATCGAACGCAATCGATGACGTCACCCGCGAAACGTGTAAAAATCTTCGATCCAATCCATCGACGCGAGCGTTGGCGCGAGCGAGATCGAACATACGGCACAGGGGATTCCAGATACGCGAGCGTTGGTGTGTGTGAGATCGAGCATACGGCACAGGGGATTCTAGATACGCGAGCGTTGGTGCGAGCGAGATCGAGCATACGGCAAAGGGGATTCTGAATACGCGAGGGGGTTGAGGGGAGGGAGGCCAAACGGGCGTTGGTGCGAAAAAACGCGCGAACTCCCTCAGTCGCCCTTCCGCTCTCGAGCTCGCTGGACCTTCGTCACGTCGCTCCTCGCGTCGTGACGTCATGAGCTCACACACACACATGCACCCGTGGGGACGGGGGCCGGGGAAGAAAACTGCGAGAGGTGGTGGGAGGCAAAAGCAGCTCGCTCATTGGCTGCCCCCCCCCCCCCCCCCCCGCACCACAGTACCCCTCTCGCCCAGTTTTCCTCCCGGCCCCTCATCCCGCGGGGTATCCCATGGGCGAGGATATACCTTGCTTTGCTACTATCATTAATGATATCGTATCATTAATGACGGTTCTAAGATGACTTGACAGCCTTCACGCTCGCTTCCCACAGCCCTCCCATATGAAGGGAGTGAGGTGGAAGGAATTTCCACGATATGCCTTCATTCGACGCGAAATAGATCATCTTTGCTTGGTGTTCAGGGTGTGACAAAAATTCATCAATCTGTCGCAGTAGATTACTTGCACGGAGGAAATTCCTGCCGTTGTCGGACAAAATAAAATCGCAAATTCCTCTTCGAGAAATAAACCTCTTAAGTGCATTCAAAAATGTTTCAGTCGTGAGGTCGGAAACTAATTCGAGGTGTATTGCCTTTGTAGCCATACAGACAAAAAGGCACAAGTAAGCCTTACCCGATTTATTTCTCGAGAGTTTAATAGAGAATGGACCCGCGTAGTCGACGTCAGTGTGACGAAAAGTTCTTGACGGAGTAACTCTAGCCGCAGGCAGATCATCCATCAGTTGTATTGAGCTGCGTGGTCGCGACCGGAAACACAAGACACACGTTCTTAGTATTCGTTGATCGCGTTTTTAGCATGTATTACCCAATATGTTTCTCGGAGAGTGGTCAGCAATAGTTGTGGACCGATGTGAAAATGCTTCAAATGTAGGTCGTGTATAACTAAGTCTGTCAAGCTACCGTTAGTGGATAAGAGGATTGGATGCTTCTGGGTATAGGGAAGTGGAACGTTCCTCAACCGGCCACCAACGCGGAGTACTCCCTCCTGGTCGAGTACCGGATTGAGCGAAAGAATCTTACTGTGCGAATCCACCGCCTTGTTCCTTTGTATGTGATGTAGCTCGCAAGCGAAGGCTTCCTTCTGATGACATTTTATGATTATGGTCATGGCCTGTTGGAGCTCATCTGTGGTCAGCGGCCCGCAGAGTCGCTGGGAATTTGATTTTGATTGCGTGCAATTCGTTTTGAATCTTATGTACGTTGCGACGACTCTCTTGAGTCTGGTCAATGATGAGTATCGATTGATGATGTCGTATGCATCATCCTGATGACATATCGTAAACGACTGAATGCGTGCTTCAGGTATTTCTGTCGGTGATCGTACTAACGGTGTCGGCCATTGTAGTGAATTGGTCTTTAACCAAGATGGTCCTTCCCACCATATTGTGGCGTCAATCAGCTGTTCCGGCAGTATCCCACGCGATATCAAATCGGCGGGGTTGTCCTCTGAACGCACATGAGCCCAATCCCCTTGGTTGGTCAGCCGTTGAATCTCTGCGACTCTCTTGCCAACAAAAACTTGCCACTGTGATGGTTCACCTTGAATCCATGCTAGTGTGACTTCAGAGTCTGTCCAGAAATAGTGTTTGGAGATTGCGCATGTAAATGCTTGAGACACTCCTCCTCCTAAATTGGCAAGAAGTGTAGCTCCGCATAATTCAAGTCGTGGAAGTGTAATGGTTTTGAGAGGGGCCACACGTGATTTTGCGGTCAACAGCTGTACATAAACCGCTCCAATATCGTCAACAGATCGAAGGTAGATGCATGCACCATAAGCGCTTTGAGAAGCGTCGCAGAATCCATGGAGTTGTATGTCCCTTGGTTGATGTAAAATTGCGTGCCGAGGTATCGCGATTTTGTTGATGCTTGGCAGCTGCTGAAGATATAATAACCATATCATGCGGAGCGTCTCTGGTATGGGTGTATCCCAGTCGATTTTCAATTGCCACAGTGACTGCATCAGAATTTTAGCCTTGATGGTAACTGGTCCAATCAAGCCCAGCGGATCGAATATTTGCGCGATTAGAGATAGCATCGTACGTTTTGTGACGATTTCTGGTATACTGTTGCAAGTTGCTTCGTACCGCAATGAGTCCGCCTTTGACTGCCACAGTAATCCTAAAACCTTTGCATCAGTTAATCCATAGTGGTCCAAGTGCTCGTCCTGGCCAAGTGAGACGTTTGAACGAAATTTAGACAACTCGAACCCTGCGGTCATTAATATGTCGGTAAGAGTTTTAATTTCACGCAGTTGCTGCACCGAGGCTGCTCCCGTAATCATATCATCGACGTAGAAGTCACGGGCGATGACCGATGCTGCAGAGTATGTTTTTTCATGATCGACTGATAATTGTTGTAGTGACCTTATGGCTAGGAATGGTAATGAAGCGACCCCATATGTTACAGTATTTAAACTGTACGTTGTGGATGGTTCCTCTGGATTAGATCTCTATAGTATGCACTGATACGCTCGATGCTCTGCCGCGCAATCGCTTTAACGCATTAGTCCTGGACTCTCCTAGGGTGCTGGGGTCTTCGCGAAATAGTAATGGAACTTCGAATCGCCCGTCTTCTGTTCGGCGATGTTCTTTCTAAAAGATGTCTTCGCATTTGGATTGTTCCTTAGAAAGTATTTTTGCATTAGGCATGTCCTCGATGTGCCAAAATTTTTCTATTTGCGCCTGCAGGTCATTGTTTTGCCCAAATCCACATATAGCGACGTTGGTGTGTGACAAGGTATTGGTTGGCGGTCCGATTTGTCCACACAACAACCCAGCTTGGTAGATTGCAGCACTGGCTGTTTAGCTCCTAGCTGAATTCTATCTGTTTCCAAAATGTCCCAGAAGACTGTTGCTCCCAGTAATATGTCTACGGCTTGCGGCGTATGGAATGACGGGTCAGCTAATTCGATGTGCTGTGGTAGACTAATAGAGTTTACATTGATGGCTCTAGTAGGGATAGGACGTGTGATTTGGTTTACAACGAATAGATTGATGTTTGTTTCGTAAGTCGTATTGGACGATACTATTGTGGTCTGGACTGTTTCGGTGATTTGTGTTTCCGTTACATTTAGACACGAGATTGAATGTTTTGTTGCGTTTGTCTGAAGACCTAGTCTTTGACATGCTGCCTTAGCGATAAAATTCGATTGCGAGCCATTGTCCAACAATGCACGCACTTTATGGATATTACCGGCATCGTCGCGTATATAAACGACAGCTGTCGATAACAGAACTTCCGGTTTAAATTTGTTGGGTCCAACTGTCTTCATTGAAACTGACGTTGCGGCCGGCGACTCGCATGCTTGAAGGTTAGCATTAATGTCCTTTGAACTTGCTGATGCATTGTTGGACGATGCTGTGCTTTGAGCATCATTGTTAGATCGCTCGTTCATGTGAAGCAGAGAGTGATGCCTCTTTGAACAATGTTTGCAATTTCGTGACGTGCATTTCTGTAGCAAGTGATTTGAGCTTAGACAATTATAGCACAAGTTAAGCCGTTTGGTTTCAGCCCGTCGAGACTCTACTATTAAATCCTTGAAAATTTTACAAGAATGCAGTCGATGCATCTGTTTACAAAGAGGACACTCATCTGTTTCATTCGTCGTTACATGTGCTACCGTAGTACTTCGACCCTTGTTTACATTTGTTTTTTGTGTCGATTTTACAAGGATATCCTTTACCTGTGCTGGGTGAAGTGCTTCGAGGAATTCGCATCGTGTATTAATGAATTCGACTAATTGCTTAGTTGTAGACAATTTTTCCTGGACAACCTTCAGTTCCCACTCTTTCTTTGTCACGGGATCCAATTTACTAGTCATCAAATAAATTATGAGAGTATCCCACTTAATAGCTCGTGAATGTGATGATGGATAGTTAAACGCAAATTGGAGAACCTTTTTGTCAATAATTCTAAAACTATGTTGTAGTTCTCATTTGTTGTTTGTAGCGACTGGACTACCTGAGCGGCGGAACCTGACAGTGCATATTTTAAATAGTAAAACCTTTGAACGTCATTTAGGTTAGGATTGCCATGAACGAATGTAAAACGCTTTGAATGTATCGTAAAATTGTTGCCATTGTTCGTAGCTTCCGTTGAAGTTCGGCAGAGTTATCACGGGCAATCGTATTAGCGTTTGATTGTTAATCGCGTTTGGTGCATTTTGAATCGTGTTTTCTGCTTGACGGTTAATATGCGACTCTATTCTATTGATTCCGTGTTGTCCTAGTTTCGATCGTGCTGCCGCTTGCACCGCGAAAAAGACTTCCTCGAATCTCTCACGCTCTGCGATGTCTGGCTCGGGCAGAATCGCATCAATCTTTGTTTGCAACGCGTGATACTCATACCACAATTCGTTATATTTCTCTAACCTCGATTCTAATGCTATGCGATTTTCGACACTGTCCGCGTAATTCTCTAAGAATGTTTTGAACCTAGTCGCGCGACTCTTAAGCGTCGTTTGTTGACGTTTTAATTCCTCTACCACTTCCATTTGTCTCTTATGTTTAATCTAACCTACCAGTGTGCAGGAGATGATTGTCGATAATATCGATTATAATGTCTATATAATGTCTATATAATCGATGTGTAACGTTGTGGCAGCTGCGTCGTGTGGCGTCTGCGCATTGGCGTTTACGGGAATGGTGTTGTGTGGCGTCTGCGCTGTGGCGTTACCAGCAATGGCGTCGTGTGGCGTCTGCGCTGTGACGTTACCAGCAATGGCGTCGTGTGACTTGTTGTCGAAGATGAATGCAATAATGGCGACTATTTCCCTTTTCAGCGTACTCCTCAGCTCTTCTTGTCGAGCGTCGACGGATGTAGGTAGAGAATGTCCCCGTTGAATGAATCTTCGGTGCAGTGATTTGTACTCGCCGAAAGTCAGTGTTGTCTTTCCCTTTTAGCTGTGGCCGTTGTCGAAGCAACGTGCTAAAACTTCTCGAGAGTTCGCCGTCTGGTATTTAGCGCTCTGCTCACCTCGTTGTCGTTGTTATCCGGCTCGAAGGACCAAAATGTTCACTGATGATTCAGGATATGTGTGAGTGAGTTAAGCAGAGTCGACAATGTAGTCCGAATGATCTTTATTTTTGTCACTCGTTCCTTCCGATGTGGTGCCGTGCTTACACCATTTTCTTCTACGTCTATATGTGTCCCTCTCTTCCGCAACAACCGCTCCGCCTAGCGTCGTGCCGGTAAGCCACATAGAAATGCGCCCAAATCATCTATTATAACACCGCTTGCTCCTAGCGTCACACGATGTGACTAATGAGAATTCGCACGAAATCGAACAGGCTATTTTGCGCAAGTGGCGTCATTTAGGTCTCGTGGAAGCTCCATCAGACTAATTGAGCATTTCAATGAATATACCTTTATTACCGGCTGATTTATTTCCAAATGCCTATGTAATTATGCAAGATGTTGCTGATTCTATATATTCTCAATATCCTAATATATTAAAGTTTTTGAAATATACGAGGTGTGATCAAAAAGTAAGGTGACTTTACATTTTTATAAAAAAATATTCATTTATTCATCCAAAATTATGTTATCCCCTGTTACGTCCTGAGCGCGAGATTTCGGCGGTCTCGAGACGCGACACGAGTTCGCGGGAACGCGAGCGCGGAGCGGGGCGCGCGGGGTGAAGCCTT